TGCTCCTCCCCTGCCCAGCCCCGCTCCCCACGACCCCCTCCCGGACAGCCCTGCTTCCCACCAGCTGGTTCTCTTCCCTCCATCTTCCCCAGCCAGCCCCGCTCCCCCTGACCTCCTCCCAGCCAACCCTGCTTCCTGCTGGCCAGTTCCTCCCCCCACCTCTCCATCTCCCCCAGCCAGCCCCACTCCCTGTGACCTCCTCCCGGCCAGCGCCACTCCCCTCCTGGCTGGTCCTCACCCCCCTCCCTGATCTGAGATCAAGTGAGTCCGGTATTTTTTTTTGAAACGATCTGTTAACCCTATCAGGGGCTGATCTAAAGCCATTGAAGTCAAGGAAGTCTTTCCACTGGCTTTAGGGCAGGCCCTTAGTTTCCATTGACTGCAGTAGGAATTGAGCTTTTCCAGCGCATCACAGAATCAGGCCCCTCCCTTTGTAATATTTTCTATGTAAAGTAGAACATTAGGGTTATGAACAGCAGTTACTAGCCAGAGTTATGAGCTGACCAGTCCACCACACACCACATTTGGAAACAGAAGTACAGTCAGGCAGCAGCAGGGACAAAAAAATAAGCAAATACAATACAGTGCTGTGTTAAACATAAACTAATGAAAAAAAAGGGAAAAGTTTAAAAAAATAGTAAGGAAACTATCTCTGTGCTTGTTTTATTTAAATAAGGCAGTTAAAAGCAGCATTTTTCTTTTACAGAGTAAAGTTGCAAAGTTGCATTAAGTCAATATTCAATTGTAAAGTTTTGAAAGAACAATAATAATGTTTTGTTCAGAGTTACAACATTTCAGAATTTCAGACAATCTCCATTCTCAAGGTGTTTTTAACGCTGAGATTCTATTGTGTGGTTTTTAAAAGCAACATTGCTTATTAGAGATTCAGTCCTGTAAAACTTTGTTCAGGTAAGTAGACTCAATGATTTTGAAGTCTTGGGTGTGAAGGATTTGGTCTAAAAAATTTTGCACAATTTTCCACAGAGCGTCTAGATTGGCGCGGACACTTTTCTGCAAAAGCACTTTTTGCGGAAAAGCGTCTGTGCCAATCTAGATGAGCTTTTCTGCACAAAAGCTTTGCACAAAAGGACTTTTGCCCGAATGGGAGCAGGATAGTATTTCCGCAAAAAGCACTGATTTCTTACAGTAGGAAGTCAGTGCTTTTGCGGAAATTCAAGCGGCCAGTGTAAACAGCTGGCAAGTTTTTCCGGAAAAGCAGCTGATTTTCCAGAAAAACTGGCCAGTCTAGACACAGCACAGGTGTTTTTAATGCTGATATTCTATTGTGTGGTTTTTAAAAGCAACATTGCTTATTAGAGATTCAGTCCTGTAAAACTTTGTTCAGATGAGTAGACTCAATGATTTTGAAGTCTTGGGTGTGCAGGATCAAAAATTTTGCACAAATTGCCCACTCAAAGATCAATTGAAATGCAAAGAGAGGCTTTAAAGACCTAATCTGATTAAATCACATCAGATCCTTGTGCAGTCCGGTTAAATCACAATGGGAATAAAAACAAAGATTATTAGCTTTCTGCTGTGCTGGGATTTTACCACCTGTAGTCCATTTAATCCTCCCGAATGATGAACATCTCTCTTGTTTCAGACATAATTAAATGTAACCATCTTTTTCAACCAACTCCGGTCACCTACATTAACCACCCTCGTTCGAACTAGGGTGGTAGTGTAGACATACCCTAAGATCAATTGATATGCAAAGAGAGGCTTTAAAGACCTAATCTGATTAAATCGCATCAGAGCCTTGTGCAGTAAGGTCAAACCACAATGAGAATAAAAACAAAGATTATTAGGTTTCTGCTGTGCTGGGATTTTACCACCTGTAGTCCATTTAATCCTCCCGAATGATGAACATCTCTCTTGTTTCAGACATAATTAAATGTAACCATCTTTTTCAACCTAAACTATGTACATTCACCTATTTTTTTCTCCTAATTGATAAAGAGACTGTTATCAGAGGGATAGCCACGTTAGTCTGTAACTGAAAAGAAAACTTCTAAACTATGTACATTCACCTATTTTTTCTTCTAATTGATAACGAGGCCCGGCTTTAAAGACCTAATCTGATTAAATCGCATCAGAGCCTTGTGCAGTAAGGTCAAACCACAATGAGAATAAAAACAAAGATTATTAGGTTTCTGCTGTGCTGGGATTTTACCACCTGTAGTCCTCTTAATCCTCTTGAATGATGAGCATCTCTCTTGTTTCAGACATAATTAAATGTAACCATCTTTTTCAACCTAAACTATGTACATTCACCTATTTTTTCTTCTAATTGATAACGAGGCCCTTATCAGAGGGATAGCTGTGTTAGTCTGTAACTGAAAGGAAAACTTAAAAAATAACAAATAGACCTGCAGCACCTTAAAGACTGACAACATTTGTATCTTTCATGGGCACAACGCACTTCTTTATACCAAAGCTCATGATTCCATCTACAAATGTTGTTAGTCTCTAAAGAGCTGTAAGATTATTACTGGTAGTTACAAATAGTCTTGCAGCATCTTAAAGACTGACAACATTTGTTGTGCTGGGATTTTACCACCTGTAGTCCTCTTAATCCTCTTGAATGATGAGCATCTCTCTTGTTTCAGACATAATTAAATGTAACCATCTTTTTCAACCTAAACTATGTACATTCACCTATTTTTTTCTCCTAATTGATAAAGAGACTGTTATCAGAGGGATAGCCACGTTAGTCTGTAACTGAAAAGAAAACTTAAAAAATAACAAATAGACCTGCAGCACCTTAAAGACTGACAACATTTGTATCTTTCATGGGCACAACGCACTTCTTTATACCAAAGCTCATGATTCCATCTACAAATGTTGTTAGTCTCTAAAGAGCTGTAAGATTATTACTGGTAGTTATTTTTAAATTTTTTTCAGTGATGTACATGCTAGTCCTTTGAGTTCAAATTTTCTCAAGGATAACAAAATTACATGAAAAATGTTGAGATGTTGAGCTGGGGCTAATCTTTAAACACTCCATTCTTTGCTGCACATAGACTCAGTATTTTAAATGTATATGCTGCTGGGATCTACAAATGTTGTTAGTCTCTAAAGAGCTGTAAGATTATTACTGGTAGTTATTTTTAAATTTTTTTCAGTGATGTACATGCTGGTCCTTTGAGTTCAAATTTTCTCATTAAAGATAACAAATTTACATGAAAAATTTGCTTTCCATTTCCAATTTAGAATATAATCTCTAAGGATTTGACTTTGGTCATGGAGCCAAGAGATAATCTGAAATGCAGAAGTTTGTAACACAGAAAACAATCACAATCATTACTGCTTTCCATTTCCAATTTAGAATATAAACTCTAAGGTTTTGACATTGGTCATGGAACTAAGAGATAAACTGAAATAGAAGTTTCATTGTACTAAGCCATTTAGCAATTTCAGTAATGTTTTTACTTTTATTATGTTCAGCTGCCACCAATTCCCAACAAGTTATATTTTCCTGAGCAAATTGAGGTTCCTGAAATGCAGAAGTTTGTAACACAGAAAACAATCACAATCATTACTGCTTTCCATTTCCAATTTAGAATATAAACTCTAAGGTTTTGACATTGGTCATGGAACTAAGAGATAAACTGAAATAGAAGTTTCATTGTACTAAGCCATTTAGCAATTTCACTAATGTTTTTACTGTTATTATGTTCAGCTGCCACCAATTTCCAACAAGTTATATTTTTCTGTATATTTGTATGCAAAAGTGAAAAAAAATCTGATAAGTTTTAGATACAGTACCTGGGTGATGCAGGATAGTGGCACTGAATAGCAGCATCCAGGTGAAAATCATCTGAGGCTCCATTTGTCACTTGGTTTTCTGCTAACCTAAACAAATGAAGTTTCAGAATTTATATGAACTCTGGTCTATACAGGAGGGGGTGTGCCCATGAAATTTGATCGTGCTTCTTGAACATCCAAATCAATGTCAAGGAAGCAATTTAGAGGATATTTTTATTTCACAGTGTCTATAGACCAAGACATCCACAGATCGACAGGAGGGGGTGTGCCCATGAAATTTGATCATGCTTCTTGAACTTCCAAATCAATGTCAAGGAAGCAATTAGAGGATATTTTTATTTCACAATGGCTATAGACCAAGACATCCACAGATCACTATCTCTCCAGAAAAGAATGGGACTGATTCCAGACACCAACCAAATATTTGTGTGGCCATGCATAATGCCATACTTTGATGTAATTGTTCCAGGAAGTGATGGCTTTCAGATGTTATATCAAGGAAGGATGTCATCACAATAACTTATTAGCTTTCCAAATGCCAAAGGGCCACATCATAGGCAATAAGTCTATTGTTGCAGGAATTGTCCTGCCTTTTGATTAATTCTTTTTGATTGGAGTCTTGATGTACTAACAAAGCAATTTGTCATAATGATCAGGAAGAAGTTACTGCTCCCTGATCCCATGAACAGTAGGGTTGGTTCTATGCCATGTCCAAGGTAGATCTGAACAATCTTGAGGCTCTTCAAAACTACACTAATTGATCATAATCCTCAACAGGTTATTTGTCCTCTTTTATTGCTGGAAAATTGCAGTGGCGATCCAGTGACCTGAACAATCTTGAGGCTCTTCAAAAGTACACTAATTGATCATAATCCTCAACAGGCCATTTGTCCTCTTTTATTGCTGGAAAACTGCAGTGGCGATCCAGCTGCTTTCCACTCCCTTTTAACCCTGAACCTATTTAAGGAATTAGTAACATGTTAAGTGTTCACTTGAAGAGACTATCATCATACTGTGGATGTAGCACAAATTCGTGATACTACTTGAGGTTGCCCAAATTGTCTGCTGCACAGTCCTACAGTACAGCTTTGTGAAGTTTTTTTCTTATCGTTCTGATCAAACTCTAGACTTTAACAGGGTTCAAAAAAGAACCAGATAAACTCATGGAGGTTAGGTCCATCAATGACTATTAGCCTCAAACAAGACACACAGACTACATAACAATCCCCTTTGTTACATTTTCTTCAAGAACTAAGTTTGTACAATTTCTAGCAAAACTGGGGTTTCGATCTACTGATAAATTGGTGGCAATATAATTAAATAATAATAACAATTAAATCAATGTTACAGATTCAGCCTTGGCAAACAAATAAGTGGGTATGCATCAAGGGTTATACACACGAAATTTCACTATCCTTTGCAACTGTTTTATATATTATAGTTTCTCCAGATACTCTGATGTATGGATAAGCGATCCTTCAGTTTGCTGCCAATTGTGAAGAAAAAATTCAGTTTGGAGAAAACTGAAATTGAATTTTCTGGAATTTTTGTCAAATTGAAATTCAGAAAAGTTTTGTAGCAGGCTGAACAAAATTCATTCATATAAAACTTTATTTTGGGTGTTTTTAATAAATGTAAAAGAAATGAAAGGTTAGGTTCACAAAATCCAAGAGGAGGATATTATGATGGTGATACACCCCAACCCCTGGTTCTTTAGCCCCATGGTTAGGGCTAAACAGTCTCATTCTGGCTTTGGATTTGAAAAAAAAGGGATAGAGAATAAGACAGAGACATGTTATCGTCTCTGTATAAAATCATGGTATGCCCACATCTTAAATACTGTGTACAGATGCAGTTGTCTCATCTCAAAAAAGATATATTGGCACTGGAAAAGATTCAGAAAAGGGCAACAAAAATAATTAGGAGTTTAGAACGGGGTCCCATATGAATAGAGATTAACAAGACTGGGATTTTTCAGCTTAGAAAAGAGGAGACTAAGTGGGGATATCATACAAGTTTCTAAAATCATGACTGGTGTGGAAAAAATGAATAAGGAAAAGTTATTTACTTGTTCCCATAAAATAAGAAATAGGGGATCAACAAATTAAATTAATAGGTAGCAGGTAACAGGTTTAAAACAAACAAAAACAAGTTTTTCTTTGCACAGCACACGGTTGGACAGTGGCACTCCTTGCCAGAGGAGGTTGTGAAGACCAGGGGTACGTCTAGACTACATGCCTCTGTCGCCAGAGGCATGTAGATTAGGCTACCAGGCATAGGAAAATGAAGTGGCGATTTAGCAGCCGCTTTTCCGGAAAAACTTGCCAGCTGTCTACACTGGCCGCTTGAATTTCCGCAAAAGCACTGACTTCCTACTGTAAGAAATGAATGCTTTTTGAGGAAATACTATGCTGATCCCATTCAGGCAAAAGTCTCTTTTGCTCAAAACTTTTGTGCAGAAGGGCCAGTGTAGACAGCTGAGATTTGTTTTGCGCAAAAAAGCCCCAATCCAGAAAATCATGCCAGTCTAGACGTAGCCATGGAGGTTAGGTCCATCAATGACTATTAGCCAGCTGTCAGAGGCTGGGAATGGGTGACGGGAGAGGGATTGCTTGATGATTCCCTGTCCTGTTCACTCCTAGGGCATCTGGCATTGGCCACTGTCAGAAGACAGGACACTGGGTTAGATGGACCTTTGGTCTGACCCAGTATGGCCGTTCTTATGTTCTGTGTTCTTGTGACCCAGGATTTAAACCTGAGGAGTTATTTTGGATCTAATGGTTCAAATCTGAATATACACAAGATTCTGAGGACCTGATGCTACATTTCCATTTTAACTTTCATAAAATGAATTACCAGTTGTAAAATCGACAAATATTTAATTCACTGTTGGTAAATGCTTAGGCTGAAAATACACTCTTCACTAGGAAAGCTGGGCTGTTTGAATGTTCACAGAAAAGGAACAAAACAGTGTCACAGACAATAGTGAATCAAAATAAATTTTGAATATGAGCAAGTGTCGTAATTTAGGGAATATACTCCACACCCAAATATACCCTGTGTTTTTTTCTATTTCGGTAAAAAAAATCTTGTATGCCCCGTGCATGAGTATAACCTGCAGGGTATACAAGATTGTGCCAGGGGTATATTTATGGTGCAGGGGGTTAGGCTCCCAGCCCACTACTGAACAACGTGGGGAAACTTACAAGGGGCGCAGCAGCCAGGAATGCTCCGGAGCCGGGGCAGAGGCATCCCCAGCAGAGGCGCAAGGCGGGAGGCTCCCAGACAAAGAGAAGGAGCAAATCTGCTTTTTTTTGAAGTCCAAGGTGTATATTTTACTATTCTCTTTTCTTCCTTTGGTCAGGATCCTGAAATCTACCATCTCATGATCACTGCTTCCCAGGTTGTCACCCACCTCTACTTCCCCTATTAGTTCCTCCCTGTTTGTAAGCAGAAGGTCAAGCTGCGCACGGCCCCTGGTAGGATCCTTCAGCACTTTAACCAAGAAGTTATCCCCAACGTTCTCCAAAAACTTCCTGGATTGCCTGTCTACTGCCGTATTGGGTTCTCAACAGATGTCAGGGTACTTAAAGTCCCCTACGAGAACCAGGGCCTGTGATCTGGAAACTTCTCTCAGTTGTCTGAAGAAAGCCTCATCTACCTCATCCACCTGATTTGTGGCCTGTAGCAGACACCAACCACAACATCACTGCTTGAAGGGGGCGGGGGGGAGGGGATCCTCTGCTATTTCAGTAAAAAAAAACCCTATATAATCCGTGCACGACTATAGCCCGCGAGGGGGCGGGGGAGGTTTGTAAAAATGAATATATTTAGTGGGGTATATTCGCCAAATTATGGTATCTGAGACTTCTTTTGCTAGTTCTCACTTAACCCATGTCTCAGTGCAGTTTTTAGCAAACATCAATAAAGTATTGAGGCACAAAGGGTGGAATAAGATTGGGGAACAAACTACCCTCCTACCATCAAAGCTTGTCTCTCTAGGCTAGGGTAGATGCATAAATTATGTTAGCAGGGCAGGAAAGCTTGTTCAGCCAGATTCTCAATGCTAAATGCTAGCCAATGTCAGTCCTCCATAGCAAACATTCTAGTACTTGTCATATGTGCTGAAGTAGATCAACCTTTGCAATGAAGCTGCTAAACCATAAATCCAAATGTAATTACAAATTAACCCATCAAAGGGGGAAATAGTACAAATGACATCACAATCAGCCTTTGTGATTTTGGAATAGTAATTTTTTTTTACTTCCTGTGATAACATCTCCTTCTGAGAAATCCATCAAACTTTATTTAAGGAAAACAAAGAAAGTCTGTTTAAAGTGTAATAGTTTCATGAGCATAATCTAGGTGTGCTGCTTATGTCAGCACATTGGCACTTATTTGTTCTTCCTTCTCTGAAGAAATTTCAAACTTTAAATTATATTAGTTGTGTATTTTCTATCCAGCAATCCAGTATCTGAATATTTAGGAATAATATAGACATCAGTGATGGACAACCTAGGCTAGTGGATGAACCGCATGAGTGGCCCTCCATCTCAGTGGATTGCAAGATTGTCCTAACCAAGCCTGTCTCCCTGGACAGGGTAGTTTTGCTAATTATGCTTGCATACGTAGAATTTGTGGAGTGTGCTGATTGAACCATAGCAGCATTTGATGGTGTTATCCTCCATGACTTTACCTAATAATTTTTTTTAACCTAGTTTTGATTTTGACCTTCACAGCATCCCTTAGCAATGATTTCCACAGGTTGACTATGTACTATGTGAAGAAGTACTTCCTTATGTTTGTGTTAAACTCACTACCTATTCATTTCATCACGTGACCCCCTGATTCTTGTGTTATGTGAAGAGGTAAACAAAGGAATCTTTATGATCTGCCTGTTACCTGGGACAGAATTAATCCTAATCAATATGAGTATTTTAAAATTTAAAAATCCTTATTAGATAAGGGCTCTAGGTCTCCTCTGCTTTTAAAACATATGGGCAAGCTCTAGGGAAGGGAATGTACATAAAATTACATTGAAGTAACTGCTAGAGTTAGAATTATGTTGTAATAAAGATTGAAAG